GGATGGGATGGGATGGGATGGGATGGGATGGGATGGGATGGGATGGGATGGGATGGGATGGGATGGGATGGGAGCAGTACTCTCTCCAGCATTCCCCGTTTTCTCCCTGTTTTTAAAGGATTTTTCTGGGGCAGAGAAAGGGGGGTCAGACAGGAGGAAGGCCTGGATGGACACAGGGATAGCAGGAGGTGTCCCCACCCATGGCAGGGGGTGACACTGGATGGGACCCTCCCAACCCAAACCCTTCCGGGATTCCATGATCCTCGGGAATTATGGAGCCCTGAGATGTTAAAAAGAGATTTTTAAACATTTCACCAAGAGCTTTTTGGAAAAAAAAACCAAGAAATCTCTGTCCTCTCACCCAACCCACAGAGGGGTTGGGAATTTGTGTCACCTCTGCCCTCTGTGACCCTCCGGGTGGCGTTTTGGTGTCACCCAGGTCCCCTGAACGGTGTTTTCCCTGTGGCAGATGCCAGGCAGTTCCCACCCAGCATCAAGGCCAGGTTCCCTGCGGACACCTACGCGCTGACCGGCCAGGTGGTCACTCTTGAGTGCTTCGCCTTCGGAAAGTGAGTGCGGTGTCCACAGGGACTGGGATTGGGGTGGGGATTGGGATTGGTGTGGGGATTGGGATTGAGGTGGAAAGGGAATGGTGGGACAAGAGGGAATGTCACAAATTCCACGCCTTCCCTCTGGAATGGGAGACCAGGGATGGCGAGGAATGGGAAAAGGGAGGAGCTGGCTAAAGCCAAGGTCTGGTGGGGCAGGATTGGGGTGGCCACGTGGGGATGGGGCTTGGCCCTGAGTGACCGGGTCACCTTTTCCATAGCCCCGTGCCCCGGATCAAGTGGAGGAAGCTGGACGGGCCACAGGCCTCCAAGTGGATCGGCAGCGAGCCCCTGCTGCAGATCCAGGACGTGGGCTTTGAGGACGAGGGGACGTACGAGTGCGAGGCCGAGAACGCCAAAGGGAGGGACACGCACCAGGGTCGCGTCATCATCCACGGTAACGCGGCCACGCCTGGCCCTGGGCGGGGACACAAACGTGTCCTTGATACAAGGGGACACTCCAAACGTGTGTCCATCATCCAGGGGGACAATCCAAACATGTGTCCATGATCCAGGGGGACACTCTCCACACAGGTCCATGATCCAAGGGGACACTCCTAACGTGCCCATCATCCAGGGGGACAATCCAAACACGGGTCCATCATCCAAAGGGACACCTAAGAGCACATTTAAACACCTTTGAACACATTTAAACACATTTGAGCACATTTAAACACGTGTCCGTCATCCGGGGGGACACTCCAAACACAGGTCCATGATCCAAGGGGAAACTCCAAACACGTGTCAATCATCCAAAGGGACACCTTTGAACACATTTAAACACCTTTGAACACATTTAAACACCTTTGAACACATTTAAACACCTTTGAACACATTTAAACTTGTGTCCATCATCCAAGGGACACATCTAAATATGTCCAAGATACAAGGGGACGCATTAAATATGTGTCCATCATCCAAGGGGACAATCCAAACACGTGTCCATCATCTAAAGGGACACATCTAAACACATTTAAACMCTTTTGAACACATTTAAACAAGTTTCCTTCCTCCAAGAAACACAAAAATGTGTCCATGGTCCAAAACCACACATTAAACACATTTGAACACGTTTGAACACATCTAAACACATTTGAACACATCTAAACATGTGTCCTTCATCCAAGGGGACACATCTACATGCGTGTCCATGATCCCAGGGGACACAAACATGAGTCCATGATCCAAGGGGACGCAAACATGTCAGTCACCCAGGGGACACATCTGAACACATGTCCTTCATCCAAGGGGACACAAAGGGAACACGTCTGAACACATTTAAATATCTTTGAACACGTGACCTCCATCCAAGGGGACACAAACACCTGTCCATGATCCAAGGGGACACAAACACCTGTCCATGATCTAACGGGACACAAAAACGTATCCATGATCCAAGGGAACACATTAAACACGTCTCCATCATCCAAGGGGACACATTAAACATGTGTCCATCATCCAAGAGGA